GGAAATTTTAAGGCTCAAGCATAAATATTTGTTGCGCAACCTACCCGCACAACTAGCTCAATCAGAAAATTTTAATGAACAAGCTTCAGAGTGTAGGGGCTCTGATGTTTCATTTTACAAAGATGCATACACTTTGCCTGTTATTTTACCGCTGTTTATATGATAGAAACAATTGTAGTGTTAATCAAAGAGAACAGATTCCAAGAAACCCAGATGAGTCCAATAATAAAGAGTGCAACTCCCACAACCATCACAACACTGACCATCACCCACATCCAACACAACCAGCCCAACTAATACCTCCACAACCACTACAACCCTCAAATTCACCAAAACCCTTACAGCCAGCAAAACTAGCAGAACAAGCGCAACTCTCTCAACCAACACAGCCCTCGCAACCACCACAACCAACATGAATGTGTGGTGGTTATGGTGCCGTTCAGTTTGTGACGGTGGTACTGGTTGCGTTAGCTGTGCTGGTTGTGGTGATTTGGTGGTTTGGAGGGTTATGGTAGTTATGTTTTGAGGGTTAAGGGGTTTTGTTGGCTGTGCTGGTTGTTTTGCTACAAATAACTATGCTTGAGCTTTAAAATTTCCTTGTTGTGGAGAGTGTACACAACCAGAACCACAATACCTCTTAGAGTCGGCTATGATCAAGAAATGGCCAGGTGTAGCTCTCGTTCTTGTTCCTAAACAAGAGCGACCAGGAGGTGGTAATAGAAAGAAATACGTATGCTTTAAGAAAAAGTCCTCGGACCTTTCCATGCTGCACTGCCTGACTGAGCCCGATTTCAAAACAAGATACAACAATCACAATTTCTCTTTCTAAGACGGTTAATTATCACCGGACAATAATCTATCTGAATCTATTGGCAGGGAAAACCTTCATCAGCAATTCGTAAATCTTCAAGCATGGCGAGATCTCCAATAACAGCTTCGAAAGAAGGTGACGTCACATCAGCTAATGAGGAAACACTTCAGTTTGACGATGACAATTTAAAAGGTGAGGCACATTATGCAGTTTCCTTATCATGTCGACAGCGAATAACTTTCGCCCAGCTAACGCCCTTACCTATCTATTTATCCGGCTGTAAAGGGTAATAATATTGAGTTCAAGTCATTTTATTCAAAGTTTGGCTTAAACGATATGCTTACGTTTCGATACGTTATCTTTTAAGTTCATCTCAATGCGCAGTTGCAGAAGTTGAAAAAGGAATGATAAATTCGCAGGTCAAACAAAAACGACTTACTATTACCCAAGTTTTATTTCAAGAGTTAGAAATACACTAAAATCAATCTAATTTGGTATGTAATATTTTATGCTTTGCTTAACAGTCTTATCTTAAAGCTCCACTGAATTCACAACGCGTGCTTGCTCGCTTGGTATATTCAATGCCTAACATTTGTCACGTCACACTAATATTACGAGAATTGCGGTACTGGCTACCTTTGAGGCAACGCATCGATTTTGGGAGAATTTTAATTACTTTTAAGATTTTAAATAATATGGGTCCATCTTATCTTTCTTCTCTTCTTTCTGTTGCGACACTTTCACGTTACAGTCCTCGCAGTTGCTGTGATGGAACCTTACTTCGCTTTCCTCCAATGAAATCATCAAAGACCTTTGGCAATCACGCTTTTATGTTCGCTGCCCCAGAGTTATGGAATGGCCTACTACATGACACAAGGACGACCACGAGTCTAACATGTTTTAAAATTAAACTGAAAAAAAATTATTTTCCCAAGTTCTTTTTATGACTAGGTTTTTAATTTTGTTCATATGGAAATTGCGCTACATAACATAAGTATTATTATTATTGTAGCAATTGCTGAGGTCTACAAAAATGAGGGCAACGATGAGTACAAGAAGAGCAATTTTAACAGCGCCATTCACTTCTACACGAAAGGAATTAAAGTGAACTGTAAAGATGAAGAGCTGAACGCTAAGCTGTACAGCAACAGGGCAGCAGCAAATTTAAATTTGGGTAAATTAGTTGAAGTTAGTTTTTATTGTTGTGAAGTATTTTGAAAGTTATTTTTAGGACGGATTTGTCTCAGATCTTAATTGTTTTCCTGTTTGATCTTTTGTTTTTACTTGTACTTGAATTTATGCTTAGCTCTCGAATTTACTTATTGTCATTTTAGGAATATTCTTTGCTTGCCGTCATCATATGTTAGTTTTTCGTGGGTGGTCGTGTTGTGATGTTAGAGCTGACCTTGGTTCATTAGTCTCGTTGAAGCTCCTGTTTGGGTTTGGTAACCAGAGTTTTAGTTTTTCATTTGTTTGTAGCTTCTTGTCGATCACAACCATGTACGTTGAGTTACACCAAGACATTACCTACACCGAGTTCACCTTCATTTTATTCTCACGGTCAGCTAACACAAACATGACCATCTTTGGTTATAAAAACGGCCGCTATTTGACGAGGGTCTCAATGGGGTTAACCGATAGGCGTAAAACGGCCAAAAATTTAGTCGATAGCCGTAAAAATTGAAAAATTTTAACCGTTAGCCGTAAATAGGGTAAAAAAAGAGTTAACCGTAAAAGAATTTGTTCCCTAGATTTGTTAACTTTAAGGAAGGTGCTAAACTCACCTGTGGTTGCGTTTTTTATTTCACGGTTACTATGACTCCGTCAAAGCGAAGCGCCTTTTAGGTGTTAATCTAGATCTAGGCTCCTTTTCCGCCCTTCTCTCGGGGAACTAATTTTTTGGATAGCTAAAATCTGGCTTCTTGGTGAGGATTAATATTTGCGATTTTCAGGATGTCGTGCCCTCGAAATACTAGTGAAACAACACGCAGAGATGTCACTGTTTTTTAAACACATTGCCGATAAACAACAATTCCTTGTAACAATTCCCTGTTTTTCTCAGACGCTACGGTAGACGTTGCCATGTCTAGCCCCTGTACGGCGTCTTCCCACGCCTTGTCGGTCAAGGTAATTCGGTGGCGTATCGGAGAGGAAAACTCGCTCGGACCACGTGACCCGAAACGCATTAGCCGCGCAGAATAATGAGGCCTACGGACAAGGCAATCCGCAATCGTTCCGGATCACATTTTGTTATTGGGCGTTTTCACACTAGAGCTAGAAATGGATTATCCGTCTGAGACTAGCCTGTGTACAGTCGGCCCCTCCCCCACAAACAACCCTTCTCCGATTTTTTCTGAGGGTAGGGGGCGGCTGTACACAGGCTTTTTGAAACGGATAATCCATCTTCAAACTGCCCGTCAAAATTGACCGATAAACAGACGGACAAAGTCAGACGGATTGTTCCCAATCATTCAAGTTAAAACCATTCCATTTTCAAATTAAGACGTATTACCTATCTGACGCTAATTATGAAACGGATAACCCGTCTCACATGGATAATCCGTCTCTAGTGTGAAGACGGCTATTTCTGTTATAAATGCATGTATGTCGCGCCCCGGCCTCGAGTTGGGCGTTCGTGTGTCTGCTTTTGCTTTTTCACGAAGATTAAGTGGCTGTCCACCTAGGAGCGGTCCGGCGAGTTTGGGATCGCCAGTAAACCTTCCCTTTATTTTTTGTGGGTGAAAAGGACTCAATGAGGAATGATTAAAATCAAGCTAATTTTTTTCAAAATCTTTTTCTGTGCTTCGCTACAGCACAAAACCTCTTTCCTGTCTGAGAACGCTTTTTCAACTTTATTCAATGGCCAAAATTCAATAATTTTAAAAGCCGCGCTTCTTCGTAACGGATAAATATCGGTAAATTCTACATAGTACAATGGATTTAGCTACATTTGACTTGTCCTATAACGGAATCTTGGCTAATTTGACGCAAAATTAAATTAAGTTAATAAGATCAAAGACGAGCCTCTTTGCGGTTGTTTTGCTCCCTTGACAAATTCCTCCAAAGTAAAAGCTAAAATCTCCAAAGCGGTACAAAAATCACAGGCAAAATGCAATTCACAGCAAAGATCTTACCTTATTCTGTTAGAAAATAAAGTCAAAGGTGCGGGTATCCTTCTGTGTCGGACGCGAACAACCGTTTTTGAGAGCTCCTTTTGTCAATATTTACCTAAAATTGCACGTTTGGCGCCTATTTAAACTCATGTGATAAAGCTGATATTTTTCCCACAGGGCAGAATCTTGGTATGCTTCGTCAAAATAACGTAAATTTGTTGTTTTGTAAGCCATCGTAGTCTTGTAAACCGGCATAAAATGTCATAAAATACATTTAGGAATTCTTCATCTACTCGTATATTATGCAAATTTAAAAGCTCATTTACAGCGGGGTTGTCGATTTCAGCAATCTTCAAAATCGTAAAGAATACAATTCACTCCTGGTCAAACGAAGCCCGTTTTGAGTTTGGAGTCTCAGAAACTAAAAGGTTCTTTAATAAAGACTGAATTCAGCTCAATTTCCTTTTGGGTTTTCTTCATGGTCATATGCTAATTAGGATTGTTGTCACGCAATGAAAGCGGATTTGGAGAGTTTAAAGGAGGAAGCAAGTTGGTGCCTCTTAGTCAATGTAACAGGGGAGCGTTATTACGGCTCGATTCGAGGCAATGTTACTTAACGAAAGAAAATATTACAGAGAGCGAACTTACTTTGCAGCGGGCTGGGTATTTTGGTAAAACTGCCCAACAAGGTGAAAAAATGTTTGTATGTCCGATACATCGTGCGAACCTAGGGAAGGACTGGGGTAATCCAACTGGCCGCACAGAATGCCGATATCCAGACCATAAGGGAAAACACACTTGTGCTGAAACGTGACAGAGTGTCGGGGGCAGACTGTAAAAATTTCCGCGAACCGAGAAACTTCCAACAAATCTCCTAGTGGTGTCTGCAAATTCGAGGCTAGTGGATGGGCGGCTGCAGAAGTTAAGGGGAGGCGGGACAAGGTTTAGCGAGAAAGTCAAGTCTTACCTCACCGCACCATTTGATGTTGATACACAAACAGGCAGGAAACCAGATCTTTCTGAGGTCGCAACGGACATGAGAACGACCAGAAACACAGGTAGTTCAAGAACGTTCC